TAAACACGATAAAAAAAAGATACATTTTTAGAGGGACATATGTCAACCAAATAGGTCTCTTTGAACTACTAATGTAAATTGTGTCTAAATACATGTTTAGGCAGAAAAATAAGATAACTGATTCACCAGAAGATAACATGTGTCACCCAAGTTACTTATTTATCCCCATTGTTTTATGTTATCCATACCGCCTACCGTCGTCGGTCCCTCCTTTGTCTTTCGATTCTCACTCTTTCGATTCACATGTATAGACATATCAAAAAAGACGGAGAATCGACAAACAAAAAGACAATAAAAAAGAGACAAATCGATGGTAAAGACTCACATCGTGATGAGCGATGATAGAGAGCGGACGACGATAGACAACGAGGGTTTGAACGACGTAAGGTTTGGAAACTGTAAAAAGAATTTAGTATTTTTAGTTTAAAACCTTTAGATAGTTTTTACGGGTTAAAATAATATATATAGTCAAATTTTAAAAATCCAACGCCTTATTTTTTTCAATAAATAAAAATTTATGGACTTAATCAATCGAAATGAAAAAGTTCAATGATTTTTTCATTCAAAAAAATAGTTTAAAGACATAATCATTCAAAATGAAAAAGTTCGTTGGATTTTGATGAACATTTCCCTTAAAAAAAATTGTTGTTTTATTACAAATTTACCACCCATATTTCATTTTAGATGTATTTATTAATTTTCTTTCACAAAATGAAATATATCAATTTATCTTTTTTTAAGAAACCTTGTTGATTTTTAAATGGTTGATCATATATTTATAATGTTATTTTAAAATAAACAAAAGAATAACTAAACTTATTTTATTAAACTCAAAATACCAACTACTACAAATTGATTAAAAATATTAAATTAAAAATTTACCAAAATAATATTAAATATTACATTTTTATTATAAAACTAAAAAAAAAATGCTTTATTGTTTAAGGATTAGATAGACTACATAAATGTTAAATAATAATATAATATATATAGTATTATAAATTATGTTTTTTGTCTCCCTGATTTGTTAAAAATTACATACTTCGTTCTTATGATTTTGAAATCTTGATTTTTATCTTTATGATTTGTAATTCATTTCTATTTTCGTCTATGAAGTTTAAATATTACTTTTAAGTATGAATGACTAAAATAGAAATGAATTGTAAATCATAGGTACAAAAAAAGTAATAAATTTTAAATCATAAGAAGAAAAAAAGTATTGAATTATAAACTATAGAGATGAAAATTATAATTTCAAAACCATAAAGATGAAAAGAAATTCAACAAACCACAGGAACTAAAAACATAATTTACTTTATAATATAATTAAAAAAAAGACAAAAAAAGTGAAAGGACAAAAATACCCTTGAACTAACTCACATTTTTAACTCGAGTTAGTTTAAGGGACCAAAAGTGAAATAAAATGACAATTTCAATAACAAAAACTATTATTAGTTCAAAACAGAGACCAAAGTTAATAGTGAGTGACAACTAAAAGAACAAAAAATGTAATTTAGGCCTTGTTTACTTACCTGTTACCCGGTAAGACGTTCTTATTTAGGTAAGAGATGGGGTGTTTACCAAAAAGAAAACCACCTCTAACTGAGACGTGGTGTTGATCGTATACCTAACAAGAGTAAAAGACAAGAAGAATGCTTACCACATTCAACAACAACACCCTTTGTCTCATCTACCCTCCCCTCAATCTTTTTCTTCACTGGAAAAACATATATTTTCTTCAGTGACAATAGAAATACGTTGCATTCTTCATCTCCCACACACACTCTAAGACCATACTCTCTATCTAAATAATCACGGCTTCTTAAATCTTGATCTTGTTTGAGTTCTCGTAATGTGTTTTCTTGTTTTCTTTTAGTCAAAAAACGAAAAACAAGAAGAAGAAGTAAACAAGTTTAGGGTAAAAAAGAATACAATGAAAGGTATTCAAGAAACGTCCTTCAGGAGGGAAAAACCGAAGCACTTCAGTTTTTACCTTATGAAATCTTAGTTGTTGGGAATATGAATGCCTTTACTCAAGATAATATTATGTGTTTCTTTCTACAACCATTTATTTTAAACTAGTATTCGTATTCGTGCAATGCACGTGATGTAAAAAAGATTACATTGTTAAGTTGCCATCAATACGCGATTACATACATAAAACGACAACAAAACAAGATGGTTTTGTTACACTGCTAAAGATATCGATAGAGTTTCACTTATTTTGAACATTGCTAACTGTACCTAGTTATGTACCCGAACAATGTAGGAGAACAAAGTTTTATTGTAAAATAAAAAAAATAAAAAAATTAACGCAACTCCTCGTTGAAAAGAATAATCATGAATTTATGTTTGCATAAAATAAGCTATAACCACTTATAATAATAGACAAATATACATAATGAGTTAGGGGCCATTTACCTAACGCTTACTCAGGTAAGCACTTATCAAGTTACGTTACCTTACCCGATGAATATGGTAATGACAAAAAATCTTACCCTATAAGAGAGAAACAAAGGGATTCATTAGCTCGTTATTTAGTACGAATCAATGAAATGACAGAAATACATAAACCCACAATATTAGTACCCGCTCTACAATCGGAGTGACAATACCGCACAATACCGACGTAAATTACTATTAGATTTGATTGGGGTTGGGTTAGGCATCCAAATCTGGGTCAATCCCAGCAAAAATCTGTTGGTCCAGTCATTTGATTTGGTAATAGTAATCAAAAAATAACAAATAGAAAAGAATAGGACCCATTTTAACAAATGAATTAATTAAGTCCAAATTTTGAAAAGATGAATAAACATGTTCCCGGTAAGTGAGAGTGACAGCTCTTACCACGGTTAGTGCTTACCGGATAAATTGTTGCATATGATGCTGTTTTCGTAGACTAAAATCTTACCCGGTAAGTAAACGATAGTGTTGAATTTCATGAGTAAGTGATTAGGTAAACGGTCCCTTAATGAGTGCATCACATTGTATCCCGTGAAAATGCAACAATGACAACATACATGATTAAGGAGTGAGTACTTCATCCATGCTCCTTTTCATGCTTCAGCTTGGTGGGGTACTGCACTCTTCATAATGTGAGCTGTTATTAGTTGTGTGTCATTCACAATATCGTCTTGGGTAGGGAATTGTGATTTGGACATTTTAAACAGATGGATTTCTTTCTTTCTTTCCTCACACTTCTTTGAGGCTTTTGGGAAGGGTTTTTACGTTTGCTAAGGCTGATGAGGGTAGTTACACGAGAAGTGGATCGATGTTGTAGGTTATGAGCTTTGAGACTTGTACAATAAGCATAACAAATTGATAATTTTTTAAAGTTCTAGCGGAGAGGAAAGTAGTTGGGACTTGCAGATGGAAGCTTTAAAAGATGTACATCAAGCTTGCTAGCTAGTACCTCTTAAAATTTAAAGGAGTTGTAATTTAAAATTTTATCTTTTTGAATGATTAAGTCTCTGAATATTTTTTTTAATAAATAAACAATCATGCTTTTAAAAATTGGTTACCTATATTCTTCTAACCTAAAAAAGTTGCACTAACTGACTAGTAAAAGTTCGATAGTTTATTTATTTAAAAAAAAAATACAGGGTGTAAATCACTCAAAATTTGAAAGTTTAATGGTTTTTTCATTCAAAAGAATTGTTATGAGACTTAATCATTCAAAATGAGAAAGTTAAATGGTTTTTTCATTCAAAAAAATAGTTCAGGGACTAAACCATTCAAAATGAGAAAGTTTGTTGGGATTTTTTTTTGAACTTTTACCTATAAAAAATATTACTGTTAGTTATATATTTTGTTCGTGAAATAACGATTTTCATTCAACAATAAAAACTCGTAAACCATCTAAATTTTATATGTAAAATAACACAATATTTTTAAAAAAATGAAGTTATATGTTGTTTCACATATGAAATTATATGTTGTTTTGTATGTAAAACAACATTGTATTATAAAGCATGTGAAAACCATGCGTTGTTTCACTTATTAAACAAAGGTGGTGTCAACACTACGAGCATCTCCCATGGTAAGAACCAAGGTTTTTCTTGACAAGAACTCAAAGGGTACAAGGTACTTCACTTTTTATTTATAAGAACCTTGTACCGGAGATGCTCTTATATGCACCCTTACATAAGTCAAAATCAAGTCAAATCATACATTTAAAATGTAAAAAGACACCTTTGATGTTGATGTGTGTGAGAGGGATTTTAGAATATAAGGATGTATTTAGCAATCACAGAGGTGCAATTAGCTTACCCCTTAAACAACAATACATTGTAAAGCATGTGAAATGATGTATTGTTTCACAAGTGAAAGAACACTATATTATAAACAACGTAAAATAACGTAGCGTTTCATATGTGAAAGACAAATGGATTCCTGACAATGTATTTGGTCCCATGTGCTCAGATTTGATGATAGGCAAATTACTACCGAAGAAGACATATTATCTATGGAAACTAATCAACTAATATTGAATATCAGTAATTCTAAAGAAACTCGGTGACATTGAAAACCCAATGAAGTAGTTGTCGGGAACATATCAACTGAAGATGTGTCATTTAGTCACCGAAGTCTAAAGCTGACGAATCAAACATTGAAACACAAGAATTGTGCACTAAAGAAACAGGTTATCAGAGATCGTATAGTGAAGGCTTAGTAACCTTAATACTTGAGTCAACTACTACCGTTGAAGCTAAATGGACTAAAATTGATATTGATATTGATATTTATCCGGTAAGCATTCACCGGGTAAAAGTTTTCTCCTTCAATTATTGGATAAGATTCTAGATTCTTGTTATACCTCTTACCGAGAAAAACTCTAGGTTCATGTTATGCTCACATAAAAAAAACAAGTGACACCCAATAAACACTTAACCGGTAAACTTCAAAATAGATGATGTCATGGAAATAAATAAGTTTTAAATAAAAAATAAAGGTTGAAAAAGAAAATCCATTTCCAACGCGTATTGGCATCTTCTTCCTTGATTTCCCCCTCCTCCACCTCATCCCACCTTCAATCACATTCCCCAACTTGCTTTTGTATAAATCCCCTTCTCTTTCTCCACAATTACATATAGACCTGCAATTTGGAATCACTAACTGTGTAAAGTAATGGCAGACGCTAGTGGAGGAGGTCAGTACACGGATTTTCCGGCAGTGGCTACTCATGGAGGTCAGTTCATTCGGTATAACATCTTCGATAATGAATTCGAGATCACTAACAAGTACCGTCCTCCCATCATGCCTATTGGTCGTGGTGCTTACGGAATCGTCTGGTATGCTTATGTTTGATTCACTTTTTCTGATGTGGTTTTGAGGTCGTTGACTTTTTTTTTTTTTTTTACTACGATTGTTGATTTGAAACCGGTTAATTAGGGTTAGTTTATGATTGTGACCAGCTCGATGTTGAACTCTGAGACGAACGAGATGGTTGCTGTGAAGAAGATTGCAAATGCTTTTGATAATTACATGGATGCTAAGCGGACGCTTCGTGAGATTAAGCTTCTTCGACATTTGGATCATGAAAATGCGAGTTGTCCTTTGCTACAATCTTGTTCGTTTCATAAATCTATGTAGAAACCTTAGAACTTCTAATTTCTACTTGACCACTCAGCACCTAAATGTTATTAATCATTTATCAACTGTGTAGATTTAACAAAATAAAAATGAAAAGTTGTTACTCAACTCTAAGAACCATAAAACACTTGTGAAAATTTGCCTCTTCACCACAGAAACTTCACGATTTACATCCAGCGTGATTTTGAACTTGGTTTGATAATCTAATGCAATATTTTCGTTGGTTTCGCTGATCAGTATATGATATGCTAATGTTTTTGAACTGATGCAACTTTGTTAAAGAACTTTTGGTTCGTCTTACAGCCCATATTGATTGCGATTTGAAACACAATTCAGGTAATCGCTATAAAAGATATAATCCCCCCACCTCTACGCAGAGAGTTCTCCGATGTCTACATTACCACTGAGCTTATGGACACCGATCTTCACCAAATTATTCGTTCCAATCAGAACTTATCAGAAGAGCATTGTCAGGTATTGAACTTTTATTAGGCCATGTTTAGCAACCATAAGCTAACCTATTTTTAAGCATATTGAAAAAGCTTGTTTTGTTAGCCATAAGCTAGCTTTTCATGGTAGCGTTTTAATAAGCTCCAAGGGCTTTTTCCACTTGTTCTCTTCTTCCAAATATGCCCTTTATGGTTTCCCGATGAATTTTTTAGCATGTCCTTTTACGTCATTTAATATTGTCATCTAGCTTATCAACTATCTTTTACCAAACATGACTAGTTTATGAGCTAGCTTGTTAGCCAACGACTAGCTCAACTAACAACTAGCTCATTAGTCAACAGCTAGCTTATAAGCTAGTTTGCGAAACATCGCTTTAAACCAATAACTTAAACCTTTACAAGTTAAGGTGTAACAACCGTTTTGTTTTCCACAATGCTTGCAGTACTTCTTGTATCAGCTCTTACGAGGCTTGAAGTACATTCATTCTGCCAACGTCATTCATAGAGACCTCAAGCCTAGTAATTTGCTACTGAATGCAAATTGTGATTTAAAGATTTGCGATTTTGGGCTTGCCCGAACAAGTGCTGAGAACGACTTTATGACAGAATATGTTGTCACCAGATGGTATAGGGCCCCTGAGCTGCTACTCAACTCTTCAGATTATACAGCTGCCATAGATGTGTGGTCTGTTGGTTGCATCTTCATGGAACTTATGAACAAAAAGCCTTTGTTTGCTGGTAAAGATCACGTGCATCAGATGCGCTTATTAACAGAGGTATATATGTTACCTTACCTAACATACTAAGATTACTACCTACTGATTCCCATATGGGAAAATTTAAAGACTGTGTGCCGCTCTACTCTTTGGGGTAGAGGACAAGTATGCATACATCCCACCCCTGATCCTACTTCCAAACGGATATACTGTGTCAGTTTCATTTGGTTTTAAGACGCCATTTCCTTGGATGAAACCTCACTGGTCTGGTACTCTGCTTGTATAGTAGTATCTAGTGATCACACCACATAAGTATAGGACCATTAGAATAACTTATTCTAGAGCCTCTAAATTCTGGTTTTCATTGGATACTGTACAAAAAATGACTCCATACTTGATAATCCCCAATTGGGGGAGGTGAGAACATCTTGAATTCTTGAATGAAATCCCCAACATTCTGAACAGTGAGAAGGCCTTCTTGAAATTTGATCAAATTGATGGAATTCTTTTTACTATCTTAGGCGGGCCAAGATTAGGATGCGTTGCTCAACATGGTTAAACTTAAGAGGCCTTGATTCTAGTCAAACGTGGTTATCTTATAATTGATTATGTTATTCAAGAAAATGTATCCCCATAGGCATCCATGTTTTCACTTTTGTGGGGCTGGTTATATGTCTCATCAGTCATCACTGAAATGGAAACTTTGATTCGATTCATAATTCCTTTTTCTTAATTTTTTCAGCTTCTAGGTACACCAACTGAATCTGATCTTCGGTTTATTCGGAATGAAGATGCAAAAAGGTATCTTGCTCAGCTCCCTCAACATCCTCGCCAGTCATTAACAAAGACTTTCCCACACGTTCATCCATTAGCCATTGATCTAGTTGACAAAATGTTAACAATGGATCCAACCAAAAGAATCACAGGTAACACCGTACCTCTACTTTTTACTTTTTCTAATTAAAAAAAACACACACAAAACTGAAGCAAAATTCATCTTTTTGGTTGCAGTTGAAGATGCATTAGATCACCCTTATCTTGCTAGACTACACGACGTAGCTGATGAGCCAATCTGCATGGATCCTTTCTCATTTGAATTCGAGCAACAAGTTTTGGGCGAAGAACAGATAAAAGACTTGATTTATCAGGAGGCATTGGCACATAATCCGGGCTTTGCTTAAAAGCAATTCCACGCCGACGGTATCAATTATTACTAGATAAATGCAAAATAAATCTGGTGCTGATGATACCTCCATAGTGATCAGAATCATCCAACTGGACCTCATTGATGTAAACAATTTACAGATGAATCGGGTGGGTGATGGATCAGTGTTGTATTGTTTGTTTCTCCGGTTTGAAATTGTTTATTTATTGCTTTTGGGTTCATGGTTCTTGGTCTCCTTTGGATACCATGTCCATGTGTGTTGTGTTGATGAGTTTGTAAACTAGATTTTAGAATGGTTCAATTGTACAAGTACCAGAGATCTATTTATTGTTGCCTACATTTTCTCATGACAACTACCACTTGTCGCTCTCCTTTTAATTCCGACATTCGGCTTCCCTCTCATTTATTTGGGTTCAGGATATATGCTCCTATCTACTATTTTACCATAACTCAAATGATTATATCATTAACCAACTTTATTTGTATTTTTATTTATTTTTTATTTTTTATTAGTTTTCTTTCATTTAATCAAGCTATTATTATGAAACAACAATTTTTTTTTATTTATAACTAATTATTATTGTTTCTTTGTATTAATATTTCTACTTTTTAAAACAAGAACACAATTATAAAGAAAAATAAATTATTTTATTTTAAATTCTTAAATATTTCTATAAATAGGATTTTTGGTTTGAGGTAAAAAAGCTGGTCAAACAATATTTCATTTTGAAAGGAGCTGATAAGATATTCCATTCAAACGTCCCATTGAACTGAACTCATCTCTTTCCAGGCTCCTGAAAAGGAGAATAAAAAGCTGCACACCAACCACTTCAGTTCACACCATATAAAACAGTAGAAACAAACAGCCCTTCAGTCAGCATCAACTCCATTCAGACAATCTCATCAGCAAGATGAGGCATATGGTCAAACAAGTCAACCACAGAACAGCTCTGGAGAATGGGTGAGCGAGCATAGGATCCCAATCACAGAACACACCGAAAGACTCAAAAACATGTCAACTACAACCAAGTTTTCATTTTTCATCAGCCAATTGAAATTTACAAACCATTGAAGAGGTCTGATTAAGCTATAATACGAGTTAGAAAGCTAACATGAACTTGGGATCACGACCAATGAATCCACTTTCCCTTGGCCAATGAACATACGAAAAACCATTAGTCTCACGTGAACCCAACCCTGTATATATAAAACCAAATTTCTAACAATCCAATCCAATCCAATGTTAACATCATATATTAATCCCTGTATTGAAGGAATAAAACCAAAGGAGATACTCTTTGCATTATAAGACTATAATAAGATTTAATCTACATCAGATGCAAAATCCCTACAACTACAACCACAACCACAATGCAAGCTTCAATCCATTCACAATTGAAGACATTACCTGCTTCTGGAGGAGACCATATGAGTGTTTGTTGAATTCATTCATATTCAAACTGCACATCTACATGCAAATACTTTCTCATCAGACCAACCATCGATGTCGTAAAGCTAGCCAACACTTGGCATTCTTCGTGGCTTTTGGCCTCCGAAACAACCCCATTAATGATCAACTTCCGAAGATGCGGGCACCTCTCCAGCAACCCCGCTGCCCACTGCGAAAACAGATCCGTGATCACCGTCCACCCGAGTTCCAACATGATCACATTCTTCAGCTCAAACGATCGCTGCAAACTGTACTGAAGCGCTGCCTCTTTTAGATCATAACACAAGGACAGATGTGTCAATTGAGGGAAGCAAATGGAAATCGTCTCCATATCCACAACTTCATCTTCATCATCAAACACAACCCCCCAAAGCCGAAGCCCTCTTAGCTTTGATGCTTTCGAGATCATATGATGGAATTTAGCCCACATGATGGTGAAGTTGCTAACATCCACAACTTCAAGATGTTCCGTGTTTTCGCCAATATCGAGATGAATAACGCTAACGTCATCGATCTTTAGAAGCTTTAACGTCCCTTTGCCAATAAGTTCGAAAACCTCAAGTGTGCAATCTTTAAGTTGCAGCTTTTCGAGGCCATCGGCTTCAAGTATGAACTTCTCCAAACTGATGGCTTCAACCGATAAATCTTTCAAAGAAGGGCTATTCAATTCCATGGACGTCTGTGCATCTGACATGGCGATATCGAGACTCAATAGCGTTAAGATCTCAACTTTCGGACAGGCTGTCAGGAGATAACTCAAATCTAGAGCGGAAATGCTGATATGACTTAACGAAAGAGATCTCAGAGACGGGAATCGCTGGTAACTTGGTTCGACACCACTGATCGTGTTATGGGATAGATTCAGTACTTCGAGCTTCTGGCGACCACATTTTTCAATGATATTAATCGTGGGCGAAGTTCTTACATTATAATGCAACTGTCTCAAACTTTCTCGAGTGTACATAAGCCACGCGATCACTGGGGCTGCGGAGAACTCATCGACATCATCCATGATGATGGAAAGGGATTGAAGGCCAGTGGTTTGGAAGATTGTTTGAGTTATTAGAATTTCGAGTCGGCTCGTTGTGAGTTCGTGATAAACGGGCCAATCGTTCGAGTTGAACGAAAGGGTATGGAGGTGAATCCGCCAAGCTTCTCGCCATTTCCGGCAAGTAGCAGACGCAATCACAACATCTCGGGCAGCACCGAGCCGAGAAAGGATGTTTCCGATGACTTCCACAGGAAGATGTTCCATTTTCAATCAATCAAGAAACTAAAATGTGAAACTTCAAGAACAGTAGATACAATCTAAATCTGATCTTACCGTTGAAGCCCTGTAAAATAAAAATTCCCAAATCATCATCATCATCTAAAGATTCAACCGAATTCAGGGGTTTGCATCCCAATTTGCATATGGCAAAATCGAATCCAGATTCAAAGAGAAATGTGTACGATTAATGTTCAGATTAATTGATTGATTGATTACATCAAATCGAATCAAAATTCAAAGAAACAACATAGCAGAATCCATAAGCACTCCTAAAACTTGCAAACAACTCGAATCTATTGCACGAATTAAGCAAGTAAAAGGACCAAATCATTTGGAAGATCCAACATAGATTTAAGCGTATCGAGTACAAACAAAGGGATTTATGCATCAATCAAGTGCGAGCAGTTGAATCAACACATTCATAAGTCTTGTTGATCGAAAAAGAAAGTCAAACGTACCAGGGGGATGAAAATGAAGAAGAATCTTGAAGGAAACCCAGAAAAGGTTAATGAAGAAAGGAAGTGGGCGTGAGTTGAATCAGTAGTAGGCAGTTGATAGAAAGACGATGAATCTTGAATTTAGGGTTTTAGTGTGTAGAAGATGTAGGGATGGAATCTAATTTGTGTGAGGGCCAAAACTCTCAAACTTTTCTCTCTCTCTCTCTCTCTCTAAAACTTCTTGTTGTTCTTGATGGATGGGGGGCGTTGTGCATAGAATATACATACATCCATTCTGGTGCGTGTGCGAATGGATTGCACGTGACTCTCACACTTGACCTATCATTTATAGTTGTTGAATGGTTTGGTGCAAAATAATTAAGTTATCAAAATGATTAAGTGGCTTTTATGATATAATAAAAAATAAAAAATAATTATTTAATAATTATTTACAACGAAATTAAGGCACTGAATGGTTAAAAGAGGTCCAAGATACAAAATTATTAAGAGGGTTTTAGAACTATTAAGAGACAAACTTTTTTTCGCCAAACAAGTTTCACCTCTTAACGATTCAGAAGCTGCCTTTTAATAAAACTATTAAGAGGTAAACAAATAACCCTTAAATAATACATAATTAATACGGTTTTTTTTTTTCCTTTTCCTTGTGTACACTTAAAAAACATAATAAATACGGAAAATCTTATCTCAGATTTATAAAATAAAGATTACTTATAAATAATAGATTTGATGTTTAAAAATATTACTCAATAAGATAAGATTTAAGATATGTTTGTTAGCAGTTTAATGAGTTTGATTAAAATAACAGCTTAATCTGTCAGTTATAGATGACTTAATGATATAAAAATCGACTCATTCAGTAAGCTTTTAGGACGAAGCTTTATGCAGAAATTTAAGTTTTTTTTTCTTCCAAACATACACTTCCAATAAAAAACCGTGCTCTTTTAATTTATGAAAAACTTTCAAACAAAAATCTTTTCAATCTATACAGATAGATTAATCATCGTAAACAACTTTATTCATACATGATAAAAAAAAACAACCAAATAAAGTATGTAGACTATTAATGACGCAATAAAGGATATTGACGTACGAATAACACAAATTCATTACTTTAAATGTGAATTTTGATTTCTAAAAAAGAATAGAAAAGTAATACTGAGACAATCATTTTGCACCATTTTTGTGTCCAATCCACTGATTGTCCCTTTTTTTTTTTGTCACAAAAAATATACCATAAATGTACAAATTACTTTCTCATATCATTGTTTTGGCATATATTGTTACAAATATCATAAAGTAGACTTATGAGAGTTAGGGACCGTTTACCCAAATGATTACCGGTAAGTGCTTACTGATAACATTCAACATTATAATTTATTTTAATACCTAAAATTTTAGTACATCAAAACATATCGAATACATCAAGTTACTGGGTAAGTGTTTGCTTGCCTAGGTAAGAGTCACCATCCTTACTTACCGGGTAAGACTTTCCATCATTTTCATTGCTCTTACACGGTAAGATTCTTGGTCCTTCTCATGTTCATCCGATAAAGAAATTTATCTGGCAAGCACTTACCAAATAAGTGTTTAGTAAACGGCCCCTTAGTCATGAATTACCAATAATTTTCATCATGGTTTTATGTTGAATTTGAAGTAATAGGACCAGCTTGTTGCTTTGGTCATATCAGAACCGATCCTTGTATCATTAAGCTAACAATTTATAGATATATCCATCAACAATAAAAGAAATCCATCAGTAACATATAAACCAAACCAAACGGACCCAACAAGTGAAAGGGGTGCACCCATTATTAGTGAAGGTGGAGGTGAGATTAATTGGTTAAGAGTTGTAGTTGTTATATGTATATAAGCTTTGATTTCTTTAATATACAAACACCAATGGAGTTAGTTGTCCCTTCAACTATGAACAACACCATCACCTTCTTCAATCCAACACCCTCTTTTACCTGCTGCTTCAATTATGTCATGAAAGATTCACCACAACCGCATTGTCCCTTCGAGTTCGGGTTGATAAACACAAACTCAGACCTGCTCAAAATCAAAATCAAAATCATGAATGTTCAAGATCACAGGCAGATGCAATGGTAAAGAAACCGAAATCCAAAAGTTCTGCTATGAAAAGTGTGAAATGATGCAAATTAAGTGCCAACATACTCTGAACTTGCAACTTGTTGAGAATTTTGTATTGTTGTATTCACAAAAGAAGATATAGGCAGACTTTGTTTCCGCTATACAACTAAGTTTAGATACAGGGCTGTAATTTCAAACGAAATCCCGTCTATTGGCCACCAAATTTGTGTGAAAACGTTCTCTCCATATTTACAAAATGGGAACCAGACGTGGTGGCAACATCGGGGGGAACATATATATGGCCTAATTCAGATAACAATACACATCGGAGGAGCATATAGCCTTCTCAAATCTATCGTTATATTTATGCCAACTTATCAGGTGATGTTTGATAGGACTGAATGAGTTGTATGACCATCCTGAATGATCCCTGTTGAATAACCTTACCAGACCATAATTTATAATATTATAAAGCTAACAAATGCAAAATACATCTTATTACAATATGAAGTTAGAAATTTCCAAATGTTGGTATATGTAGCAGATAATATTTACTTTACAATTGTTATGCGTACAACATAAAATAGTTGCTACACCTTTTTTCTTATAAACATATCTACCTTAAAACTGAAATGACATCAGTTCCTAAAGTCTAAGGTCGATACCACTCATGTTTCATCTAACAACATGTCCAAGGAGCAGATTCATTTGGGAACCTTGAATATTTTAGGAACCCATAAACCACCTATTTTGTGAGTATTCATGATGAATATTCTTCATATGAAAATCTGTCACGACATTCACCAGGAACATTTTATCACTTTATTCATCATAAATACTCACAAAAAGGTGGTTCATGGGTTCCTAAAAATTTAAGGTTCTTATATGAACCTCCCTCACATGTAAAATGTTTCTAAATCACAATATTTCGTAACATTAACACACACACACATATATAGGTGGAGATTCAAACGAGAACATCCCCAAAATAAGAAAGCACGAGAATATACTTACATATATATAGGGGGCCTTTTGAGAACCCATGAAATTGTGATAACCTTGAGAACTTGTGCATCATGTGTTATTTTATATGATTTTTTTCGTCTAAGACTAGGATCTAAGATATTCATTAACATATATATGTTTCACATGTACTCGGTTCATAATATGAACACTTTTGACGTGTTTGTGAAACAAAAAGCACATGTAAAAAAGTTTCACATTGTAAACCAAATACATGTGAAACAAACACATGTAAAACAAATATATGTTAATCAATACATCAAATACTATACTTAGACGGAAAAGGATCATGTGAAACAAAACATTAAGGTAGAAGTTCTCACAAATTAACAAATTTGGGAGTTCTCAAATGATTAATCCCCTATAAGTATATGTGTGTGTGTGTGTGTCTCATATATTCTATGAGTGTGTGCGAGTGTATGTATCATTTTTAGGGAGGGGGAATAATGCAGAATATAACATTTACTGTTTTTACAATATACTACCTTTGACTCAGACAAATTGTGTGTTGTAAGGTCTATTAAGATGTAAACAGTAACCAAGAGAAATCAAGAAGTATCAAGAGACATTGGAGAAAAATGTCAAGTTGATACAATTGATGTACAGAAAACAACGTGACTGGAGTTTTAAGCAAAGTAGAATACGAGAACAAGGATATAATTCTCAATCATATTATTTCAATTTTGTGTGTATGTGTATTTGTTTCAGCTTTTACCATGGTCTTTTTCATTTGTTTAGGTATAGGACTGAATACATACATATGAGAATTTCCATCTACATTAATGATTTCTTATGTTCACAAGTTGAAACCCAATATCATGAGCCCAGAACTAGTTACACCCATAAGAATCATCCTCTATGGTAGTTTGACCACTTAAAGAGCTTTTTACACCCACCGAATGGATAAGAAACCAAGTAGTATGTGTCATAGGGAGTCTAAAGATGTGAAGCCATGGTTGGTAGTACAAAGGCTTTGTTATCAAAAGGAAGTGGTGGTGGACTTTTGTTGCTCTCCACGGTGCTTTCGGACTAATAGGTTTCATGTTATGTCAACTTGAACTTACTCGATCTGTTCAATTGCGACCTTATAATGCAATCGCATTCTCTAGTCCAATTGCTGTTTTTGTTTTTGTCTTCCTGATTTATCCACTAGGTCAGTCTGGTTGGTTTTGATGCGGGACTTGGTGTGAAGGACTAGACCTTATTGTTCCTGAGGCCCATGATCGGGTTAAAAAGGGCATCCTGCTTAAATTGCCATAATTTTTGCTACGGGACTCTGTTTCAGGCCCATGACCGGTCGATTCGAAGTTTGGAACGAGGAGCACACCTTGGATAGGACCAAAAGGGGCCTACGGGATTTTTGAGGCCTAAAACCGCTGTTTAAGCATGTTTTTTGACACTTTTGTTTTTTTTGCTACTATTTACATTTTTCGTTTGGGCTTTTATGATCGGCCCATAGTCTTTTTCATGCCCTTTTTGTTTGCTTTCCTATTCACCTCATTTTTGTGTAATTTGGATAATCAAACTGGAAATTCAAAGAACTTCCAATTTTTTCCCAAATTTTGACTCAAGGAATCGGATTTGAAGCCTAAGGTACGATATTCGTTGAATCAACGAGCTTTAGAAAAGATTTTCCCAGGTATTGATAGAGTCAACGGGTTTAATCTTTGTTTTCATTATTATATGCTACAACCAATTTTCAGACGTGTTAGTGTCCCACTTGGACCAATCTCCCCTATATATTTTGGAACATCTCTTTTCTCCTCAAGGACTCTTGGAGAGTACTCTGGAGGTTCCACATAATCTCACATGGTACCATATCCAAGGTCTACCATTCTAGGGACTTGACACTCGGGGCAAGCTGCACTCGTCTAGCCCCCTCCAACACTCTAGGACAGTCTATCCCCCTCTAGCCTCCATTTGGAGGGCGCGTGTTAGAGTCCCACATTGCCTGTCTAGCCTCCATTGGAGGGTGCGTGTTAGAGTCCCACCTTCTCTGCTCAAGGGCTCTTTTAGAGCAAAGTTGTTAAAGGCTCAAGGCACATTTAGGCGCAAAGGAAACCTGGGGCCTAAGGCGCGAAGAGCAAATGTGAGGCGCGGCCTCAGGAATGCGAGGCGCATCTTATCAATATATATATGCACACAAATAGAGTTACACACAACTCAAATATGCAACAAGTACAAGCCTCCAATGCAGCAACCAACAGAACTTCGATAGAAGCAGAAGGGTTTAAAGCGTGAGCCATGAAGGAGAAATTTTAAAGTTTGAGTATTTATAGAGAAGGAGGCTTGAAGTTCTAAGGAATGGGTATTTGATATTAGGATTTAACTAATGTCATCTATTTGATAATTCTTTTTTTCTTAAGTATAGGAGATGAGAAGATGAGAAAACTTATTTAATCTTTGGGTCTAACTAGGTATTTAGTAACTCTTTATGAGGCGCGCCTCAGCCCACAAGGCGCCTCAGCCAAGGAGCAGTGCCTTAGTGAGCCTCATGAATACACTGAGCCTCGACCTATAAAAATCCCAAGACCTTGAGCCTTATGAGCCTCAGAGCCTAGGCGCGCCTCAGGCATGCTTTTAACAACTATATTTTAGAGAGTAATCTAATGAGGTTCCACATATTCCCACAAGATGCAAGTTTGAAGATTTTGCAAGTTGTGCATGTTACTGTTAGATGTTTTCTACTTCACAACTGGTAGTTTACAGTTTGGGTGAAGTTTCAAAATCTATAAAATGGTTGTCGGATGAGAGGCGATTACACATGTTAGATGATATGTGAAATCCTTCATCCTTTTTGGAGCCTTTATTTGGTGTTGCTTTGGAATTCAAGGAAAAAAGGAATCCACAAAGTGAAACCCTTGAAACAACATATTTAATACTCAAGAAATGATGTCAGTACCTCAATTTGTCATCTACAAAGTCCATTTTTGTCCCGATTACATGCATGAGAGCTTTTGGATCAATCACAATCTTCACACCCTTGTCCTCAATCAGCTCATCAAATTTTCCTTTTTCATCTACCAAGTTCAAAAGAACATGTTATAGGAGTCAGTTTCATAATTATTGATCAAATTACATGCCGCTTCACATAGCATATTTAATAGACCAGCAATGAAACAATATCACAGCTCTAGCCAGTAAACATGAAATAAAGTGAGTAATCAATTAGCCGACACAAAACATGTCTCAAGTGCATAGGTGGGATAAGTTATTTTACCATATTGCGTGTTTGGCCCATCTCAGGTATATCTAAATCCATATCATCCAAAGTCAAATAATACAATTAATACCCACTATTACATCTGTAATAACAAATATCTCATTCAACATAAATTTCATAGGTCACCTATCCAAAATTTCATCTCAGCCATGCCAATTACATTCTAAATGCAGTTTTGCATAGATTAGTCATTAGTCACATAAAAATGAAGGGAGAAGCCATAAATATCTTCTCCTTCACACTTGATAACATATTAAGACAGATCATATTATATATGATCTCTTCATAGTATACAAATGTCTTAAAAAGTACCAGCTACAAATTATCCTTCTGATATGATTCAATTACCCACATGTTTAGCCTGACACAACCGTTCACTCAACAGAACTCATTCTCATTTTACAATCCATTGTCCCTGTAGTTCATGAGCTTTGCTCAACCCATCACCATCATAGAAAAAGGAAAAGATTTCGTCAAATATGATTACACCATGTATGCATAAGATCCTGCTAAACCCTATAGGGTAGCTTAAGTGGTAAGGCCTTGGGTTTGCTCCCTGGTGGATTGAGTCCCCTGAGTGCCACTGGAGGTTTATCTGGTTGTTAACTTCAGGGTCCCATAGGATTAGTTGAGGTGCGCACAAGCTGGCCCGAACACCCACAGTAAAACAAATCCATGCTAGTCATGTTACAAGCCCTCATATAGCATCACTTTACAATTTACCCCTCCCCCCAAAAAAAATTCCATATGCTATGATGGATGCAAAATTAAGACTGCAATTAGCAGGTTGCTATTCCCACCATGACTAACTAGTCAGTTGACATACAGACTGGATTCACACAACAAATATCACCAGGGTCTGCCATAAAATTTCTCCTAATATATGCATATAAAGTTTTACCAATCAACAATAGTTCCCATCCATGAACATACTCCACAAAACTCCTATCACATCCACTCAGTTCATAAGCATAGATACATATTTACAGAGGCAAAGGAATACAGTTGTGGACCTTATTCAACTGTACAGGTTAAAAGAAATTAACAACATAGTCGGTCATCATATCAAGTCTTTATATAATCAGAAAGGGAGAAGGTGGGTATGAAACCTTGAAGGTGTTACTACCTATCAGGGCCAAACCCGGGTAACGGCACAGGGCATCACAACCAAAGGGGCATCAACAGATAATCCAATCCACCACCACCCTAGGTTCATTTTAACTTGTGATTTTTGATTTCCTAATCTCTCGCTCTCAATTCCTTCTTTCGATTCTTGATTTAAGTTTCTTCTTTTTTCATATTTGACTTAAGGTTTCTACCTTTTTCAATTTGCTAAAGTGCCTATGTTTGGTATCTCATTGTTATTTTCTTTGTTTGTGGTTTGATTTGTTGCTCATTCTTTATGCCGAATTTTGCTTTTCCTGTTCTTAACATCAACATATACTTCCTCCTCCTTGTAAAAGTTGCAACACTTCCCTTCTGGTTGTCCAATTGAAAATTGAACATTTAGTATTTTGATAAGTTTTAATCTAAAATTACTTGACCAATATCATCGTTGCAAAAAAGTGATGGTGTTGATTTGGATAGACAAGATTATCCCTTTTTTTCATCATGAAACCATACTTGAGATAAATTTATCTTAATGTACGCCAATTTTACATGGGATTAAAGATTGAAGAAGCATTAGGTCTAACAATTCACATAAATCTGAAGTTAAAAGCAAATTGATAAGACATTACTAGGGTTAATTCCAAACATAGATAAGAATCCAATAGGATTGAACAAAACGCAATATCTCTAAATAAGCATGAATCAACAACATCTATGGATAGGAGATTGGGAACCTGCGTAATTGAGGGTATATGATAAGCCATTGCAGCCGCGAGCCTTGATGCCTAGCTTGAGAAAGGAGCGCTGGCGATTGTGAAGGAGTTGACGTATTCTATCCGCAGCGGCTTCCGTCAAGGTGAGAGCTTGCCGACGGGCTGCCGAACCCACCTTCCCCGCCGCCTTGGCCAGTACCGGAGACGCCATTCGATAGATTGGATTTGGTAGTTGGGTAAAATTGTGATCTTGAATTAAATTTAAATGGAAATGGAAATGGAAGTTTCTGTTATTTGGGTTTGATGTTTTTGACATTTACACGCCGACTCTCGCAAACATTTGTGATTCCTTATCAAGCAATCATTTATTACTTTTCAAAATTAATTAAAATATGAGTGGTTTTATTTTTAACCATTTTTTACGAGATTTACCATAAAATTCTGAGATCTGCAATTTAATTGTTTTTTACAGATTTTGGTGAAAAATATAAATTTTATTGCGGATCTGGTGAAAATGTAATTGATTTTTACTAATAGATTAAAAAGTGGCTAAGGGGCTGTTTGAGACTTGTTGAATGATAAAGTGGTCAGAATGATTAAGAGGCTTTCGTGATATTGTGCAAAATAAAATATAATTATTTGGTAATTGTGTACAATAAAATTAGGGTTCTTAATGGTTAAGGGAGATCAATGATACAAAATCATTCAGAGGATATTAGAACCATTAAGAGGCAGACTTTTTTTTTGCCAAACAAGATTCAACTCTTAACGATTCCGAGGTTGTTTCTTAATAGAACTATTAAGAGGTAAACAAACAACCCCTATAGTGAAGAAGTTTGTCCGAAATAGCTAATTTGGTCAATTTTCTCTAGAGAAAATCGCAAAAGTCCTTCATTTATGTTGCATTCTCGTCTTTTTTTTCCGAAGGAAAGAGAGGAAAAGGAGGGGCGAAAGAAAAAAATATTGTGTTCTCAGTTTTTTAGGAGGGAAAAGAAAGAAAAATAAAATTTAGTGGTCGTTTACCAAACACTTACCTAGTAAGCGCTTACCAGTAAAATTCAACATTATCACTTACTTACAGGGTAAGATCTTAGTCAACAAAAACGACATCGTATATAACAGTTTACCTGGTAACTGCTAACCGTGATAAGAGTTGTCACATTCACTTACCGGGTAATAATTGTGATCCTTGTCTCACTCTTACCGGGTAAGATTTTTGGTCCTTACCGTATTCATTCAATAAGGTAATATGACTTGGTAAACGTTTACCCAGTTAACGCTTACCAGAAGTCCTTGCAAGAACATGATCCATCTACAAAGTGATGAAACCTGCTGTTATCTCTCACTATAATCTTTCTTCCCTCAACTTTGGAGATCAACTTGATTGCAGAATGGCAATCAACACAAACCCTTATATTTTTCTTCACAATAATCGGTTTCCCAATCGGCATACGAATAAGCGCAAACGCTATAGCCATCCTCTCGCTATGCCGATGAAGAACCTTCGCCTTCATGGCATCTTCCATATCAACTGAAATGGACCCGGTATCGGGAACATATCCAGCTTCCATTATCTTCCCCAAAAGACTATCAAGTTTCAAATCAATTTCTTTCTTATCTGGATGACACCAATCTTCAGCTCCAAAAATATGAACCTTGTTATCAACATCAACCCAACTAAAACCAGGCAGTTTCTTTACATTTCCATCCTTCATCATCTTTCTAACACTTCTAACATCCTCCCATTGGCGTTCTTTTGCGTATATATTCGAAAGCAAGACATGAGCTCCGCTATTTTCAGGCTCAACCCTCTTTAGACTTTCGGCTGCAAGCTCTCCCCTTTCTTTATCGCCATATATTCTACAAGCTGCAAGAAGAGAACACCAAGCGTAAGCATTCGGCTCAAATGGCATCTTTTCTATAAAGATTTCAGCTTCTTCAAGCCTCCCTGCTCGGCCCAGCAAGTCGATAACACATGAGTAATGTTCTGACCTTGGTTTAACGCCGTAAATCCTTTCCATGGAGTTGAAATAGTTTAGTCCTTCGTTAACCAATTTTGAATGGCTGCAGGCATTCAAAAGATTGACGAATGTTACTGCATTGGGTTTAACATTATGAACTACCATCCTATCGAATACATCTATCGCTTCTTTTCCTAAACCATGATGAGCAAACACACCCACTAGTGAATTCCATGCATACTCGCTTGCTTTAGAAATCTTCTCGAATGCTTGGCTTGAATCATCAAGCAAACCACATTTTCCGTACATATCAACAATGATAGATGAAACGAAAGGGTCTTGATCAAGGTTGTACTTGAACACCAGGGCATGAAGCTGAGATCCTTGTTCAAGTGCAGCATGATTAGCACAAGCCTTAATTAAGCTAGAAAAAGTAAACTCATTAGGTTCAATTCCTTGGCGCTTTAACTCGACAAAAATAGTCAACGCCCTCTCGATTTGTTCTGTTTCAACATACCCATCAATCAAAGAAGTATAAGAAACAATATTTGTATCTCTAGAGTCGATTTCAAGAAATCTTGAACCACTATCCATATCTCCTAGTTTACAGTACATATCTGTAAGTGCATTGCCAACAGAAACATGGAGGTTAAACCCCAACTTTATGACAAATGAATGAAGACATCTTCCAACATTATATGCTTTATAAGCTCCACAAGCACAAAGTGCACTGCAAAGAAGATGTTGATCAATTTTTACATCTTCAATCTGCATCTTTCTAAAAGCCACCAATGCTTCTTCATTATAACCATTTTTTGCGTACCCATCAATCATTGAATTCCATGAAACTTCATCCTTGGATGGCATCTCCTCAAAAACCATACAAGCCTCAATCATCAAGCCACACTTGGAATACATGTCCGCTAAGTTACTACCCACAAACAACTCATAACTAAACCCAGTTTTAAGAGCAAGGCAATGGATTTGCTTCCCAATTTGAACAGATTTGAGAGACGAGCAAGCTTGAATCACACTGGAAAACGCAAATTCGTTTGGACTTTCACCCCAAATCCACATCCTACAAAATGTGGTAATCGCTTTCAAAAACTCCAAATTCTGGGAAAACCCAGATATCATAGCAGTCCAAGAAACCAAATTTCTTTGAGGCATTGCATCGAACAGCTTGTAGGCGTACCCGATTTGGCCACATCTCCCATACATTGACAAAAGGTGATTGGTAAGATAGGTGCATGATGGGTAAGCAGAGGTGATGAGCTGCGCATGAAGCAGCTTTCCTTTACATAGCTGCTTGGATTGGGTGTAGGTTTGAATAATGTGCGCCAACGTATTGGAATCTTTGTGCAAGTGCTTGGTTAAAGTTCGAAATGTCATAACAAATGTGTTCAAGAAAATCTCAATGCCATGTTTTTCATAAATGTAAAAGTTCTTAATCAAAAAGGGCTAATTTATCCTTTCCCCTATAAGATAACCATGAAAGGAACCACTTAGCTGAAAATGGCAACAAACGCCACCGTTCCACCTGCCACCTGTTTGATAGTTACAGCAGAGTTTTCAGTCGGTGGTAATTTGGAACCGTACTTCGAAGGCATGACAACGAACGCTTTCCACCTATTTTCATCTTCCATTCGATTATTGCCCAAAACAACTTGAAATAATACCTAAGGAATGTTATGAAAGTGAGAGTATCGGTTAAGTGGGTGTTTGGGATTGCTTGTAGAAATAATTTATTGACTTATTCTGGTATGACATAGGTAATAAACACTTTTGAGTGTTTGGATAAACAACATGTCAAACCGGTAATAAAGAGTTTTTGAAGAAGTTAAATCCTTCTAACTTATAATAAATTGATAGTGCTTTTGTTGAAAAACATAAGTTGTTTCAAATAAGAATTGCTTAATAGATTGAAGCATACATTCAATATCAAATGTATCAAAATCTTTTAAAAGGTACTGAATTTGAAAATAAAATTGGCATAAGATCCCTGAAAGGTGATCATGTTTGTGTGTGTAAAACTAGGGTTTTTGCGATCCGATTCGAACGGTGTAATCCTCCAACCATAAGTCAAACTGTCAAAGCGGTCGGGTTTATATTATAAATCGAACGATCTGGTGTTATTGATTTAGGTAGTTTAGGCCTATTATGGATTTTTAAACTAAAATATATAACATCTATATGTAAAACGAAATTTTCTACCAATAACATTATTAAAAATGGAAAAAAAGTTAAACAAGTCCATCAACAATAGTGGAATTTTGGATAAACATTGAGCAAGTCGAAAAATGATTTGGAATTTCCAATTTAGATTTTTGACTTAAGGGTCTTTATCAAACACTTATCAGGTAAGTGATTGCCGGTAAAATTTAACACTACTATTTACTTACCGGGTAAAATTTTAGTCCACCAGAACGACATTGTATACAACAATTTACCTGATAAGCGCTTACCATGGTAAGAGTCGTCGCCCTCACTTACCGGGTAAGACCCCATGGTCCTTGTCTCGCTCTTATCGGGTAAGATTCTTGGTTCTTACCATATTCATCCAGTGATGTAACGTGACTTGATAAGCATTTGATGAACGATCCCTTAATTTGGAATTTTGTTGATTTAAGAAAGCATACAAAAATGAGAAATGAAAACTAAAAACTTATGTCTCCGAAGGATTTTTTTTTTAATTTGTCCATAAAAGTTGAACTTGCAAAATGAAAATTAAATGTAACTAATGAAATGTATTTTGATGGTCGATTCGGTCCAAACCCTAAAAAAATGTTTAAACCGCAAATCGGACCATATCGAGATGTTTAATTATTTTTCAGATTGGACTAGACCGAGAAATTTGGCTATGTTTCATACGTGGCCGGACCGCTAGACCGTTCAAATCACTAAAAAAATGTCTGGTTTAATTTGGTTCAACCAATTTAAACGGTCTAACAGTGTTTTTTTAACAGCCCTATGTAAAAAGGTTTGTAATGTGCAACTTGGCCCCATGCAACCAATTTCAAAAGCATAATGTAGGGACCGATTTGTTAGTGTTCATGAAAAAGCTCAATCGTCAAATAATTATTACAACAATCAACATCACAGTTGTTAAAAAAATAATTGTTTTGTATAGAAATATACTAAATAAACACAAATGTCACAATCACAAACCATTGGCCATGCCCACAAGATTTTTATGGAATGTTGTTTTGGTACACTTCTATCTCGTTGTTTACTTTTGACCTAAAAGTTGACATCAATTGTGATGCCAAGGACAAGAGGGTCGAAAATGGCCCCTCCATGCATGCTCGATTCAATGTATTTGGATCGATGGCAAATTTTGATATTTAAGATGCTTTAAGTATCAAATTTTACCTTCGATCCAAAATCTTTATTTCTTTAATTTTAAAACTAGAAAATAAAGATTTTGGTCTGATTTTTGCTTCAATAGGATTTCCAAAATGGAGAACCTGTGTAAGATTAATAGGTCTTCCACAACGAGTTCTACCTATACAGTAACGATATTTAATTATGAAGGTTGGCTGAGTAGCTGACCCTGTTGGTCTGTTCTTGCAAGAGGGGTGTATATTGAATTCTCTACAATGATATTGTAGGCCAATGAAAGGGATATAGCGTGGTGTAAAAATAAGTAATTTAACAAATCTAATGAGCCGTTTATCAAATTTTTTATTAAGTCTTGTATGGATAAATTTGTCTGTCCGGATAAATGATTGTTGTTGTTTACTTTTTTTATCTGAACCAAGAGTCTAAATAACATAAACGACTGATTTACCTCCCAATATTAATTATTTGAACATCAAAACAAAAAAATCATGGGATAGAGGTGTCATTTTTGTGGCTGAATAGGGACAATACATCATTTCTATCTATGTGATTAAGTCATGTTTTGTACGAATAAGTCGTAAGTAAACAATCCAAATGAACTGTACGAATAAACCAGATAGACAAATTTGATTGAACCAAAAGTAAACATCACCTAGCTTTTTTCATATCGCTAAAATAAACTTGGTGTGTTGATTCTTGATGTGGCAGGTAATTGTAGGGCATGGATATAAGCAATACCACAGAAGAAGGTTCCCACTTTAAACAACGACACGTAGACTTTCCATAAACCACACACACAAATCACTCTCTATATCGACGTGCATCAACACACACCATCCCCCTAAATATTCTTTCAATTCCTTTATTCCCACATAATAATAATAATAATAATATCAAAGGTTTTATATGTTCTTTCATCCATCGAAACCACAACTTCAGAAGACTTTGAGATCCCATCAATGGATGCCCACAAAAACCCTGATCTTGAAACCACCCAAACTGTACATGTAGCATCACCATCTTCACAAGATTTCAAGGAAGGATGTTCTGAAGATGATGAGTATGGAGGGAATATGAGAGAAACTACTGGTTTGTCGTTGGCTGCCGGAGAAGATGATCAGAGAACCCCACCACCAGCAAAAGCATCAAGAAGAAAGATGATGGTGGTGGTGGATGAGAGTGAGAGTAGTAGTGGAAGAGAGAGGCTAAAGAGACACCGGGTGGAAATGGCGGGTCGGGTATGGATACCAGATATATGGGGACAAGAACATCTGTTACAGAATTGGATAGATTGCACAGTCTTTGATTCCTCTCTAAAGAAGAGTAACATAATGTCAGCCAGGGAAGCTTTGATCCAAGAAACAGCAACATCAACCCTAAGTTGTTAATTCATATATATATATGTGTGTACACACACACTTTGATGAGGCTTGTACAAGTGGTTGAGATTTAACCCGATTTCAAATCTTCTGTTTGGGTATGATTACATGCGTCGTAAATTAATGCTTGATATAAACAAACATTTTTCATCTCTCAATGTGAAGTTTTATTCTTGACAATCTAGTTACTTCATATTTCTTTTATCAACCTGGATATCCAACCCGTTATACGAGCCGACTAATTTTTGCGTGTAGCTCAGGATCCTGCATTTGGAGCTCAAACTCAAACCAATCAAAAACCACCCTTGTGGTTGTTATATCACATTTTGGTCCATAGCCATAGGTTCGGATGTTTAAATTCATATATCAAGTGTTTAATTCTTATATATCAAAATAAATCAAACGAATATAAAATAATTTTGTTAGTGCCTTGTAATCTATTAGCGTAATGTGTTAGGAAAATATCGTCCTTAGGTTCTCTGTTCTCATGTGATTATACAATTGTATTTTAAAATCAGAATTCGACTTAATGTATATTATAATTATACAAGTTTCACAAATGGAATTAATGAAAAAAGAACAGGATTTTTTTTTTAGAAATTGTAATCGTGAATTTCATGGAACTCCAACTAAATTACAATCTATGGGAATCACAATGTCGTAAAGATCCATTTGATGATACAAACAACCCTTGAAATTGATTAAAAATGAGAATGTGTTCGTCTTCGAATTTCTTGATGCAAACTTGCACAAACATTGTGATTGAACAATGTGCTTAAAGCCCATAATCGGGACGGATTATAAGAGGGTTAGTATCATCGGTTGCTAAAAGCGTAACTAGTACTTTCGAATTTCGATTATAGTTTTTCCAAGTTGAACAATTTACAAGGCCAGTTGAGCTTTATTTGTGTTTATTCATATGTATGTTTTTTGGTTTTCTTTTTGAACCATTTCACTCATTGTTCTTGAGCACAAGGGGGTATTGAGTTGGTGATTTATTCACATATATGACATATCAAAATGTTGTCAAAAAGCTCCAAATTAAGCAATTTGTTCATCTTCTCACATCCTCATAAGTCGTGTTTTAGTGATTAACAATTACAATATTTTCCTATTATACTAGACAATAAAATGAATCATAAAAACAAGAGTTGGATCAAAATTTGTTCATATGGTTTGCTGAAATTAACGGATAAGATTCATGAAAAGAATTTTTGACAGGTATCCTCTAGTTTCATTTTTGCAACGGATTGGGTCTCTCCTACTAAGTCGTTATGTTTGACGGTTTAAGTGACTCACGTGAGAGGTATTTTCGTCTTTTTACTCTTTATTTAATTTTTTAATCATCTATTTTTCTTTTCTTTCCTTTCCATTTCAATTATATAGTAAATAAAACAAAAAAAAAATAAGTATTGGCAGAGAAAAGTTCAGTTGCAATCGTGGTTTCCATTGCGAACTGAGGGACAAACATGACTGTGACACATGTCCTTATTCATCATGAATAATGAACGTGAAATTTTTACACCAGTCATGATGAATATCCTGTGTAAGACACGTGGCACACTCTCGTTGGTCCACCAGTTCACAACAGATCATGCCCCGTGTTGACAATTATGTAAATAAAAAATTAAGAGTACTTCTTCCATAAATATCAAAAAAAAAAGTCACAAGACGGGTGGATTCATTGTTATGATCAATGCATTCCATTAAACTACATAAATTACACACAACTTAAATAACTCATGTTATTATAGATTTATAGACCAAAATTAGAAGCGTTATGGTTTAAATACGTAATTATGATACTATAAAAGTAGCGGGGGATTACTGGAAAAGAATGTTATGGTGTTCACTGCAACGATTCCAGCTTCCAGATCTTGATGGTCCCATCATCACTTGCAGAAGCAAGAAGCCTGTTCCCCTGCAAATACAGATCCACCCACCCAAAATAAATGTCCACAATAAAAAAGATGCAAGGTCTAATAAATCTGTAATTATTATACTTTTCCATTAACTAAATGACAATTTACCGTTAAGAAAAGAGGGAGTAATGAACTCCTCCATCTCAAATTAAGGGTAGAATGAGGAAGCGTACACATATTTTGGAACAAACTAAAATAGAACTGTAAACACTTGTTAACTAAACGACACTTATTTTGATCGGTGATAGTAACAAGAAACTCCAACTAAGAAGGCCGGCACAAAGTTGTTGGATTGGGCTTGTACAGGTGGTCGCGACTTATTTATCATAACCTAGGGGTCATGAGTTCAAATCCTATCTTTGGTATGCTAAGTGAATTACCAGGGGAATGTCAGATTAAGGGACAACAATAACCTCACCCACTTATTTGTGTTTTCCTAGAAAGAAAAAGATAAGTTGGAGCTCAAGTTTCTATATGAATAGAATGCAAAAAATTTACCGCAGGGCTCCATTGCACCGAATTTATATCCATGGCATGAGCCTTTTCCTTCTTGAGAAGCAACTTATACGAAGGTCCATCAACCTGCACAAACAAAACAAAAACCAATCACCACAAACATGGACAGTCAGTAACCATGTAAATTCCCAGAATTCTCTTTACTTTTTTGTTTATTCCCAAAAAGAAGAATTATATGTTAAGAGTGTAATAGATGTTAAAAACCCAAATCTTACTTAGAACTATAAGTTCAAATCCGTCATATGGTGGTCAAATGGAGGAAAAGGAACACTATAAACTTTGACCATTTTACAAGAAAGACCCGAATCATGGAACAAAGTGCCATTTTGCCAGTCATAAATTGAAGAACACACAAGAGAAACTTCGACCCCTTATCTCAGTTTTATGAAAAGCAAAATAATATGTGAAAAGCAAAAGAATTGCCTACCGGATGATCTTCAGACTCGCCAAATAAGCGTATGGCATCGTCAGCTGCTCCAGTAGCTATTATGCCTTCCCTGTCACATTGAACAGCATTTATGAAACAAGCATATGATATACAGGGATAGTTTGTGGGGGAAATCTCCAACACTATTCACTGTGCTGGATTCCATAATTAGACGATATACATATATAAATAGTTTGAGGGAAATCTCATGATGGACGGCGCTTGTGGAAGAGCCTTGCTATACCCGGGGTATTTTAGTAAATAAGTCAAACATATTAGACTATGGTACAAGTGTCTAATGCACTGGTACATGCTTTAGGTAGTATAAATAGAGGGAGTGAGCGGTTAGGAAGGTATTGATCAATTTGTCAAGTCTGTTTTGGGCGAGAGCCTTGGGAGAGAATCTGGCCTCTCGAAAGCTAGAATCCTATTAAACTTTCACTTGGTGTCTAATACCGTTCTATAACCCTCCTATTAGTCCGGTGTTCATCAAGCCTCTCAACACATTGGTCAACCAAATGGCTCTATGTCCTATGTGTGAGGAGGCCTCTTCCCCAAGAATTATTTCCATCATGAAACATCCCTTAAAAACAACCAAATGTTTATATACAAGTGTGTAAATATATATTCAGGATAAGCTAACGGTGTACTCCCACAAGAGGAATACAATGTTTGAGGGCATAGAGAAAGGCAAATTGGTAAAAATATGAAGAAAGGAGAGTGGGGTCAATGGACAGACAGGGGTTGTGCCTGTGGCTTTGTTTCCACAAATATGCAGTATGTGGGATTTTATCTGTCCCACCAGATTTGCAAATCTGGCTTTATATATCAATTATCGAAAGAGCTGACGATTAGTCAAACCATGATGAATCAAAGCCATCATTTCAGTAGCGACAGAGAGCTGATTAGATTTAACTATACCCTAGTGAAGAAAATGTTACAAATCCAATGACATATCCCAAAAGGAAAATGTTTGCAATTAAATTAGACAGAGAGAGCATATATATGCGACATGCTATAGCTCATCTACTTGGTCCGCCCCGCCCCCCCCCCCTCCTCTTTTCTTTTCTCAACTACTCATTATGCGATTACTTTTCATCTACACAAAATAGAAGTGTTTTCCTTTACAAATGAATAATTTTTTACCAATAGAGAACCATTTAAAAGCAAACCAAAAAATGAGCCAAGTAAGGGGTTCATGAAAAGTTAAACATACCCGAAAAATGAACTTCCTAGTTTTTGGTTACGGTCTTATAAGAACTACATGGAAACTCTCTCTCTCTGTGTATACATATATATATATATATATATATATAATCTTTTTGGGGGGCTAAATTCACACTGGTTTCAGGAAATGTTAAAGTTCGCTATGTATGCAAGAACGAGTGTGTCCTGGAATAGGGGACATGGGTATGCATAGAAGATAGCTCACTTTCTGAAGATAAACAATGCTGATAATGCTACCTTGACCAATGGACCGAGAAAATCGTCCTATCATGATAACCAGACATAGTGCAAAGGTGTCTCCTGCCAAAACAAAGAAAGTAAATAGACCAATCATATAGCAATCAAAAGAGGTGGCCTTGTTCTTATTCAATAAAAAGACAAGAACCATGCAAAGAGCATGGGGGGAACTTAAGAGGCCTATCAAAGTATGCTTATCATAAAACAGCTACATGAAAGCTTCATACAAAGATGCATTCTCATGGCTTCCATAATCATGAAAATAAACCAAATTTTTGCTTCAAATAAAATACATGCAGAAATAACACTGTTACCATTCTCCTTGCTATTTTCTTAAACAATGAACACCAATATCAATGGTGTACAGTTATACGCAAAATGAATGCTCTGTGTATATTAAAGGTAATGATATGAAAACAAACTCCAGATACCATTAGATGAAAAAATATGCAGCCTCCGTCTGAAAAAATGCAATATTTTACTTGATACCTAGTTTAGCAAGAGCTTTAGGCTAATAATCAAATGCCTAAAAAAGGAATTTTACTGACAAAGGAAATGTAACATGTTTTTGGGAAATCCAAAACGAAAAGTGATGCATTTTTTTGGGACGGAAAGAGTATTTAATCAGATATTTTGGCTCAACCTGAAACATGCAAATGAAAGATAAAAAACGAGTTCAGTTTTACAGACTACAAATTATAGATACATTTAGAAATCAGGAATTTATTTTTGAAATGCCAAAACTTATATAAGATATTACTCTTTTTTCAAAATTTATGTGATTGTATCAGAAGCTATAAAAAAGGATTGGTAAATGCATATGTATTGTTTTCTGAAGTTAGGATTATTCATATTAGTTCTAAATTTTAGGATTTGAAAATTGGCTTCCAAAAGTCGAAAGATATCTGATTTTGGAAGGGTATCAAAATCAGACATTTTTTCTGCATATTGAATTACATTCCAGCATTTGGTAGCAAGTTTTATATACCTCACTAGTGTTTAAGGATCTATCTCCAAATGTATCCACATTAACTATCAGCCAAAAAATTGTCAATTTGACAAAAAGTTAGATTTCACTCTTTTCACATAGAATTATAGAAACCATATAATGGAAAAAATGAAAATGCATGACTTTTTTTTATCATCCACGACTAACACCTCACAGGGTTCAAAGTTTCGAAGGTGGCTTCAGCAAGCTTCCAAAGGACAAAAAGGCAACTACAAGATTTCTAGTATTTGCACATAATTCTTAATATCAAATTTTCAACATCGAGCTCAAGCTTTTGTATCCCTTGAAAGCATTAAATGCATTCGATCTAAAAAGTGTCCTTTATAATAACATGTAGATCTTAAGAAGCAATAAAATGCATAAAATAAGATGGTCCTCACCAAGATGCATTCCCATCACCAGATTGCAATCTTGTAATGTCCACACCCCAAACCTTGATGGTGAGATCATCACTGCAATTTTAACCCACAATCATTGAGTTACCAAACTAGCTTATTAGCAACCGAATCACTGAATACATATCAAGGGCTACCATACCTGCATGTAACCATCTTATCTCCAGTGCCATTAAAAGATAATGCCCATACTGTAGATGAGTGTCCACTGAATGTCATTATGAAAGATATATTAGATTGTAACATGATGGTGCTACTTAATGAGGACTGAATGCTACAGAAATGTTGTTTAGTATTTACTGGACTTTCTCTAACATAATAGCAGTGAAAGATTTGCATTTAAAGAACATCGAAACTGAAGGTAAATCAGTCACTCTTCCACCGATGGACAAATTTGCAAGATGGCAACAGCATCTTTACAAAATATGGATGCAACAATACCTGGCAAGCCGACCATGATGTCACGGTCATCTGCATTTACTACATAAATCACTCATTTCCACAGAGTGTAGGTGTGTCATCCATGGATCCTGGATCCATCACCAAGATGAAGGCTTATAGGAAGTTCTAAATGAATGAAATTTTCAGGAGGAAAGAACAAGCTAACGCCTACTAAAAATTCAAACAAGGTAATGACTGATGAGCTCTACATGCTAAGAAATGAGTTGTAACTAGTTGACACTTGCCAAACTGAAAGATTTCAGGATTGGTTTCACGAAACTATTTCCTCTCAAACTGTACAGTTGATGTACATTTCCTAATGGAAGAAGTTAGCTTGTGTGGTCATTGAGTGGACATATTTACTCGTGTGGTTGGTGGAACACATTATATTACAAGTAAAAGTGGATACACAATTTGAACAGGATCAATGGATCAGCAGAATTAGCTCCATGAATTCTGGTTGGAAGTGACCTGAGTAAACAATCAGGAAGTGAAGTGCAAGACTAAAGCAAGCAACAAAAGGCAAACAATACCAATAAAAATATATGAACAAATAAAAACTTCAATCATTGTTGCAAACATCCATCCTGTAACCTCAAAGAACCAACACATGGAAGAAACACCAATCATAAGAGGGAAAAAGTGCTCAGCTGCTACCTGTTTGATTCACCTAAAGTCTGCACACAACGCCAATCATCACTATCACCATCCTCTGCCCAAACCTGAAAATGCAACATGAAGTTCTGAACTATGGAACTAATCATATGAAACCAAATAATAGAACACCCAGTTGGTTTTTTCAGGTGTGAATGCTAAAAATTAACTAAATCAAGTTCTAACACATGAACAAAACAGCATGTGCATTACCTTAATAGTATTATCATAGCTACAAGAGAATAAAACATCCACAGTTGGATGCCACTGGACCATTTTAACATCTTGTGTATGTCCTTGCAACACAGAAACACAGTCAAACTCATTCCCTGGCAAAACTTCCCATATCCAAACACATTTGTCTCGGCTACAAGTTGCAAGAAGGGAACCAGATGCATTCCAGGACACGCTTTTAACTTCATTTTCATGGCCCTGTACAGTGGAAACTCAAAATTCAGAATAAAGCAGAAGTACACTTGATGATAGTTGGAAAGGGTAACAACCTCCCACCATGTAGGTAATGGAAGGCAGTTCCTAATTTAAGAACTTGTTTCTATAATAGCCATTTGCTAGAGTAATATAAGAGATCATAAACACTAGAATGATATTAACAAGGTTTTAAAAGGCGGATTCGGGCCTCGAGGCGTTTTTCGTCACCAAGGCGAGGCATAAGCCTCGAGGCGGTCCGAGGCGTAAGAATGAAGCGAAAATATAGATACACCAAAATATGTATGCATACTACACAAATATATATGCATTTGTATATATATTATCTATACTACTAAATTACGAAGAGGCGTTGGTACAGTGGTCCTTGACATAAGAAAAAGTGAAACTGTGAGACAGGCTGAGAGGGTTTGGGAAAAATTGGTTGCTTGGAGGGAGAGGAAGGGTCCAACCACACTTTTTGATCGAGAGGAGAAAGTACCAGCTTTTTGGGTTTTAAAATATTAAAAATACACATTGGCGCCATTGTGCTTTGATTCTTTGTTTTTAAAAATACAAAAGACTAGTATAAAGAGAAGTACTACTAATGCCAAAGAAAACCATTACCAAAGTAGATCATCTGAAGTGTGCGCCTCGACATCGCCTCACGCCTCACTGAACCGCCTCACTGAACCAAGGCGTAAGCCTCGTCCAGGGTCCAAGAGGCGTAAGCCTCATCCAGGGTTCAAGAGGCATGCCTTAGGTGCGATTTTGGGCCACCTCATCTGAGGCGTAAGCCTCAAACGATTTTTAAAACCATGGATATTAATATACCAAATATACAGAAATACCTCTAAAGTGGACACGCATTCAAAATCGCTCCCATTCTGTTCCCAAATAGCAGTGGTGGCATCAAAACTTGCAGTTGCCAATTGTTTACCAGATGGCGACCAAGCACATGATCTAACGGTCCGAGTATGTCTCTCTTCTAATACTGCCTAAACAAAATTTGAAGATTTATCAATCTTACAAATATAAGCCACATACTCCACATATGTCATAATTGGCATCAGACTGCAAAAAAAAATAAGTTCTTCACAAACATAAGAAGAACATGTAAAAATCGATTTCTATGACTTCATTTTGCTGTGCATTGATATAACTTATAAGACCATACAAAAGTGAAATACCACTTGGCTAAACCTCTTCATAGTTCCTCCATTTACAGTAAGAGAATAATAAGCTAAAACATAATGTGTCTATTTCCACTATCAGGTGCTTCTACATGTAAGCACACTAGAGCAAAAAAAAGCAACCGACAGTCCTTGTTATTCCTTAATCGTATGTTTTTGTTTGTTCATGGAGTAATAATGTAGTCATCAACATGAAATTTGCTAATTAGCATGTAGTTAGAGAAACACTCGATCTTTATGTGCATCGGATTGATGAACTAATCAAATTGGGAAAATTTTGACCAACCTCTGCAAGGATTCTTATCTTAGCCATCCAAGCTTGTTATATTCGTTTTCAAGTCTTGATTTCAAAAGTTGTAAACTTGCTTTCCCTGATAGAGTAAAAGACAAGAACCTAAAGGTGACCAAGGGCTATACCTAATTTTCATGCATCTCCTTTCTAAGTTGATGGATGTGGGGAGAGGGTGAGTAGCATGACCAACTTATAATTAAAAAGTATTCCTTCCATTCTCTATTAGTTGTCCTTGGGGAATTTTGGATGTCAAACTTATGTTTTAACAACATTAGAGTCGTTATTTATTCATTACTTTTTAACACCATTTTTGGTAGTGATAATGCTTGTTCTACCTTTTGATTTAATTGTTGATCTTTTTTCAAAAATTAAAATACATTAATATCACCACTATATTTAAAATAAAATTTTAAAAACATTCAAAGTCAAAGTGAGACGATAAAAGGAGGGAATGTATGCTTTGAACTCAAATGACGAAACATATTCTTTATTCTTTTGAGACAAAGGGGTGGTGTCTTTTTTAGCTTATATTTTGGATGACATATAAGTTAGAAAAAAGAAGCTGCATATGCCTAACCTTACATGTATGTTTCTTTGTAACTGGTTGCACTCAATGTAGTAAGTTAATGGTCCAAGTCACTGAGGATAAAGAACAATATTCGACTATGAAATACTTGTAAGTACATCCTGATTGAGTTTTCTGAAGTGTCAATGACTCAAAGTAAATATTCCTACTGAAATAGCAATCACATGTGTTCCTATTGGAAGGTAATATAATAAATTACGTAAGATTATAAGTATGACAAGAATTGTTATGCATACATCATGCACTTGTTGCATAGCACATATAACAAGTGACTTTCCCAAGGAATGCACTTAAGTTATGATCTCATTTCACTTCTCACATAAGTACCTTACATAGGCAAAAAATTGAATAGACATATGTAGTGCCTGAGAATATAAAATTCAATGTTAAATGTTAAAAACCAAAGCTACTTGAGTATAAACCCTCATCCAAAGTCATTTAAGTTCCAAGCCACATAATTGAAGTTTCAAATGTACGTTACATTTTTCAACTTTTAAGAATAAACTAAAGAATAATTAACCAAGCTTCAGACATAATCTGTAGCATCAAGTTCAGTTATTAGTTATTACACTCATTCTTGTAGCCATGGAAATACAAAGTTCATCCACTCCAATTAGTTTATAGTTTCAAGGTCTAGTCTGGTAGTTTTATGATGCAAATTCATGTAGCCTTTCTTTCTCATTTAACAAGTATTAATCTATTCCCACAGTTATGAAGATCGATGTAGACATGTAATAGTCATAATATTTCAAAGAAAGTTTCAGAATTTACGTCAACTGTGGAGTTGAGACTTTTAGGCCCTTTGATCTCAAACCTGAAGGTTTGACTCTCCCGCTGAAGTAAAAAGTAAATTGAACTTCTATTTAGCATTAAACAAGCATAATCCTTCTAATTTCTTGGATCCTATGTCGTAACTAAAATCCCTAATTCTCTTCGAATTGAATTTTTTTTGGCAAGAGAACAACCAAACCTTGCAATCGAAGGAAGTAGAGGAAGGGCTCCGTTGTTGCCATATTCGAATAGTCTTATCCCCGCTACAAGAAGCAAGGACAGCAGGTACACCATCGGCACCAGTAGCTGGATTCCAAGCGAGACCCCATACCCTATCAGTGTGACCTTCAAGGCTTTGAACTTCGCTAAGTTTCAAGCTCTCTTCTTCAAGTAAAGTCATGGCGGTCGTACGAATAGGTAGAGTCGGAACGGTGGTTATTGAAGGTACGATCGGAGAGCGTTGGTCGTTGTTTTGGCGAGCACTGGAGCTCGTGATGAAGAGCAGAAGAGAGTGTGGCGGCCTCGTGGCCTTTCTCGCTATCAAAATCGGCCCCCGGTTTCAAACCTCTGATTTTGTTTTTCCTTTTTCCCAAAGAAAATCTCAAAAAATTATTTTTTTTACTATAATCTATAAACATTTAATAAAAATTCTTAAAAATCATTTTTTATACATGAAGTATTATATATTGATGCATATTACTTAAAATTTAAGATTATAAATAAATTATATATAAATACAACTTATTAAAGTTTCATGTTTGAATTCGTGTAACTAACTGTGGATAAACATAATCAAATAAAGGATAAACATCCCATTTTAAAATATAAAAATCTAAAATATAATTAGGATAATTATCTAATTCTAACATAATCATTATTTTTATAAAAAATTTATTGTTAAGTCAAAAATAAATTACTTCACTATTTAATATAAATTAAATTATAATAAAAATGAATTAAATAAATTATATAAAAAACAAGAAGTTTTAAATAGTTAATCTATACTATATTATAAAGCATTTGGCTAAAACTCTTAAAAACTCTTAAAACTCTTAAACTCTTAAACTCTTAAACCCGTTCATCCCTATCCGATTTCATCTCATATCTAAATTCGTATAACTAACTGCAGATAAACACAATCAAAT